GTTCACCACAACTCTCTGGGCTCGGCCAGAGTCAATTACCTAATGGAGAGATACTGAACTGTGGATTATATACACAGGGATAAGTTGGGAGTAGAGACTTGGACAATAGTTGCATAAGCAGCAGTTTATCAGGTTTTTTACATTTGTTTCATCCTTTGGGGTTGCTTGGGGTGGACAGGTTGTACATGCTCTAGCATGCTCCACTTTACAAGGAATACTTAAAGATTCATTACAGCAAAGAGTTCAGTGGTTTGGGAACTCCTGTAGGAGGAAAAAGGACTAAATGCTAGCTTTGTTTCCAAACACTATTAAATATCAAATAGTGAAATCTAGATATTTATTTAAGCAAACACATGGTCTGCTGTGACTTCCGTTGGGCAGCAATGCATCTAAATGTGGGTACAGTAACACTGAGTGTTGTCACAGCACTTGCTCCCTCTACAGATACAGACCTAATGTACTTTTATTTCAGATGCCCAAACTGAAACAACCTGTGGGATATCATTTTTCAGAATAGAAAAATTTTGAAAAATCTGAGAAAAACAAACAACCCAACCCTCTAAATGTGTCATGCTGGTAACCCATAAACTATGAAACCCATATTAACTTGCTACGTATTGAAATTCTCTGTTAAATGAATGTAGATATCCCCTCTGCTGTATCCACTTTTTCACTAGAGATGATAGTCTTATTAATAAAGTATTTCAAATGTATGTGTCCTTACATCATTAGGGGTCTTCTCCTGTTTCTCATGCTTTTCCCGGTCATATGCCATCTTCTTCAGAAGTTTCTTCATAGCTTTGTCCTTTTTCTCCTTCTTCTGGCTTTCAGTGTTTTGTTTTCTCACTTGGTTAACAATAAACTTAGGAATCTAGATGAATATAGATAGTAAGTATGAACATTTTCAAAATTTCTTTAAGTAGCTAAGTTATCCAAACTGTAAATTGACAGATTATCAGGTAGAACTTGAAAAAATAGTATTTATTTCCAGTAATAATTAAGGATTCAAATAATACAAAACTGTGAAACAATTTAAAAACCACTCCATTTGTGATGTTATATTCTATTCAGTAAGCTCTCAGGAGAAGAGAGGTGGAATCATGCAGTGTTTTTACGTTCCTCAGCCAAAAAAATTCATTCAACACTTTAGTCTCTATACCACAGTGATAACTTTTCCTCACATGCAGCAAAGGTTAAAATTGTTTAAAGTTGCTGATGGACAACAAAGCCTGAACTTCTCGAGTCTAAGTTAAAGCTTTGCTTGAGACCATGACACAACTTCACGTTTTATCGAAACATGTTTTATATAAGATGAAGTTTGGCCCAAAAAGGAAATGGACTAAAACACCGTGTTTCCTGCTAATACCTCTATGCAGAAAAGAATAAATCCCTCATAACAATGCATACTGATAGACCAAACACAAAGATCCCCCAAGGACTTATTTTTGGGTTCACATATGGTACACACAATGTTAAAACTCTGACCATCAAAGCTTAACTCTACTGTAAGATGTAATGATTCCGTTTTACTCCCGTAACCTATGAGCAAGAACCCAGGTGCATGGGGCTCATCTTTCTCTAAATCATGGAAATAAGTTCATATTACCTCTTTGTTCAGATGACTTGTTTACAAAATTTATGATTCCCCCTCCCCGCCCCCCTTTTAAGAATACACTTACTGTCCAGAGAAGTTTTTGGTACTGAATCATAAAGCGCATGACATTTGCTGTTCCAGCTGCCATAACAAACTCGCTTTGTTCAATAGTCTTTGAGCCAAGCCCATGAAACGTGAAAAGGTTTGGGGCCATCACCATCGCAACATTCTTTAACGTCATTTTATTTTTGTCTCGATGATCAATTACTCTTTGGAGGAATTCAAGCAGTACCTGAAATAACAGTAGAACTTACAGAACTTACTCTGCATGTGAAAAAGTTACGAGTGAAACATGATGTTACACAAACAAAATCACATTAAAAGCAATCAATAATAGGAAGTGTTTGTTCACAGACTGTAATGAAAATTTTGTTCATTTTAAGTAATGAAGTAAATCAGTCTTGTTATTTTTGTAGATAACATTTTCAAAACATTTTCAAAACCCTTCAAGTGACTTCAAAGCCCTGCACGGTAAGATTTTTTTTTTTCAAAACCCTTGTTATGTAGGTGCGTTAAATAGCATCCTACAGATGCTTTTGAAAACATTACTGTTGGCTTTTCTTAAATTGAAGGTGAACACAGTAGTACCAGCTGTCATAGTTATGGAAACATGGAGTGGCTAGTTCTGATAAGGCAGGCAATTTGTGAGTGACAGGTAGCCGGTTCGAAACTGACAATCTTCAATTAATTCTGTTCCAGATATTTTTAACTCAAGTCAGGAGCCCTCCTGACTGCTTCCACACAGCAAACAAACTCAAAAAGAAAGTCATGTTTAAATGTTTAAATAACAAGTTATAGGATTTTTTTGCCTGTAATAGAAGATGTTCTCCATCCTACACAAATCCTGCAAATTCATTTTTGATTGTAGTAATTTTAATAGTAAGCATATTCTGAAAAAGATGAATTGCTTTGCTACAAGCCCAAATTGGAAGACTCCATATAACATGCTGCAAATACCAAAAGGAAGCATAAGTTTTGAGCTTATTGAGAGTAGAAACAAATAGCACAGAGAAAAGTTCGGAATAAACATGAAGAGCTAAACCCATTTCCTAAAAGCAAACTCTCATCCATAGTATTCTAACACTGTTTATTTTTTGCATTGGAAATAAAGACTGCTAAAAAAAAAAAAAAAGGAATGAAACTTGCAAGAGAAAAGGTTGCTCACTGGGAGATTATTATTGCAATCTCCTGGAAAAATTTCAAGTCACATTCTTAAAAGTCACTTGGGAGGAATTAGGGTCCTAAGTTGAGGTTTGTTTTTTTTTAGTTCTATGAAGTATGAAAAAAGAAAGAATCACTACTTTCAGCATTAACTTTGAACTGAAAAAAAGAATGTTAAAAGAAAACAGCATTCATTACAGTGGATTCACAGGAACAGACAAAATATTTGTGCAGGAAAAAACATTAGCAATTCTAACCTTCAGAGTGTCTCTGTTTGCTTCAGGCAGAAGGAGAACCAAAAGATTCAAAGCTTGCAGTTGCTGCTTCTTCGTTGGAAGATCTGCCAGTGAAGCACATGAACCTCAGTATTTTAAAACTGTCATTTGTCCTCTTCAAGAAGCATGATTTCAAAGTGGAGACATCTTGCAAAATGCTGAATGCATACACATGGCTAATTGTCATATTCTGACAAAGTACTAGCAGACCCTTGTTTTCTCATTTCCAAATGTTCATTTAGGATTCAGTTGCTGTATGACTCAGCAGTCTTCTGGAAATATTTTCTAGATGCCTTGTGATTCTTTATTTTGCAATGTTACAAGAAGAAATAGCTAACTGTTCCTCCCTTCTTGAGCCTGTGCCCCAACATATGAAAGGGTATATTCAAAACTGCTTTCACAGTTTCTCTGATTGTCTTAACAGTTGCATGGTCTCCCAAGTCACCCACGCAGAATGAATACGATGTGTTGCTGAATAAGGCAGGTCTCCAGGGACATAAGCAGCAGCAGCAGCTGCAATGGCAAACCAGTGGGGATAAAGCCAAGAGCAGAGAAGCTTCACACATATCTACAGCAGTGAGTGCCGTACCAAATGTGGCAAGCTATCATTAAAGAAAAGTGACGTTGGTTCTGCCTTTTATCCAGTTGCTCAGCCCCGCATCATTCACCCAAGATGCAGGACAAGTGCATCCCTACACTCCTACCACCTCCTAGAAGAGCTCCTATGTTCTAGCTCTGTTGAGCAGCAGAAACGCCCAACATCCTCTCACATTTGTCACTTGTGATAAACTTCCTCCTGTCATGCTTTAGAGGACATGCTCTGGCAAAGTCTTCTCAGCAGATTCCTGATGAACCAGGCCATACATAAAACAAGTGAAGAATGAGGAACCTGCACTTGACATAGTTTTATCACACTATCTCAAAATGCAACTGGGCTGTTCTCATGCATCCTGCTGGCATTCCAACTGAACTGCTATTTCAAATACATTTCATCCAAATCAGTCTGGGAGATATCGCCAAAAAATAAAGTTTGTTGGCTGACTACTTTCTACCATAATAAAAATTGAAGGTTCTGAATAAATGAGTGATGAATAAATGACATATATAGCCATTTAAAACACGGAAGTAGTGATAACAGCGTATCTACCTGCTCTAGAAAGACATACATTAAAAGCAAAGCTTAAATTTAGTTGCAAAACATAGTGTAACAATGCTCAAAAACCAATGAGAATCAACTTTTTCCTAGCAAAATAAGCAACAATACACTTGCAAAACAATTAGAATTTGTTACTTAAATCAAGGTTTTCTGTCTGTTCACCTAAGTAACAATTGAATTTTAGTTGTTTGAATTACTTAAATTAACAAACTAAATTGTTTAAATTAAGTTGTTTAAAAATTTAATTCTAACCACACTACTTAGTCACAGTATCATGAAAAACACTGATTACTGTCACAAAGATGGCCCTTCTTCTCTAAGACCTAATCTCATTACATGTAACCAACAAGACAGGCAGACAATGGGAGCACTATGAAGTGCTATGTCTGTTTTGCATCACATCCTTTGGCTCAATGTAGAAAGTGTTTTGGATCCTGGCACCTGAGTATTTTCTGGGTAAGTAAAACCACGTAAGCCTTCAGACAGCTCAGGAGCAGCAAGCAGAAACCCTCCTGGCTCCTACCAGTATCCGGTAAGTGGAACAACCCTGAGGAACTGTTTGCTGCCAGCATCATTTGAAGGCATTCTGGCCAGCTATAACTTATGCTCAGTACTGTAAAATCAACAACACTATGTATCTGGACCAAGCACCAGCCCCCTACTCCCACCAACTTAATGGCCTTGAAAGGCAGCTCACAACCTGGAGATCGACACAGCCCACAGTTTTTAAGACTATTCATCTGTCTGCCTGTCCATGGGAATTCCCTGAAAAGTATCCCTTAGAAATGAGCTATCACTCTGCCTGCAGACAAAGGGAATAGATGTTTCTGAAACTTGCACTCCTGTGCTGGCTGGGAAGTTTACGTCTGTGGGTTCTCGCTCCTGATTCATTATCACCAAGCCACTCTCTTTCAATTACAGAGAGTATGTTTGCTGCCTTGGTGACCAGTTGGCAAGGAGGACATTTTCACAGGAACTTGCTGATCTCAAGGGACCAGGGATGATCAGCAGTTCTGACTATTCTGCTCTAACTTTTCCTGTTGTAAATGGATAGAATACCCTAAACAGTATAAATTACCATTCGTTAGATTTTTTGCAGAGCTACTATATCTTTTCTGTTGTTTTCTTTTGAAGTAAATATTGTTTATAGACTGATACCATCATACACAATTTCCTTATATCCCATATATACCTCCCAACAACTATCAGAAACATCTTATCAAAAAGTGGCAGTGTGCTTTCATTTTATGTGTAAACTATTAAAATATATGTTACATGAAAAATGCTATTTGTACATTAGCAAAAATATGGTCAACCTTTTCTCAGAAGTCACACTGTTGTTATTCAGTTTCACAGATAATTAGTGAAAATACTGCTATGGCAAAGAGGCACTTTTCTGCACTGGTATCAATTCTTCACAGCTGAGACAGAAAGGACATTACTCACTCTGTACATCTTGGAAAGCTTTGAGATATTCTACAGTGAGGAGTGGCTGAGGAAGTTCACGGATGAAGAGTTTTAAAAGACTTGCTGCATCATGTTGCTTTACGTTCTCCCAGTTGAAAGTCCCGTCATAAAATTTTGCTTCCAGTTCTTGGCAAAGACTCTGAAAGGCAGTAGATACAGAAAGCACCAATAACACTTGGCTGCTGGAAGTCATGCATTATATACACAGCAATACTTTCCATACTTTGAAAGGGGGGAAAAAAGGTACATCTGAAATATCACTTAACTTCAGCTGCTGCTGACCTTTTGCTACAAAAAGATAAATTTGGGATCAGAAGCACTGCAAGCAAACACATAGTAATAGGCAGCAGACAGTCCAATCATATAGGAAGGAATTCCATGGGCCTGCCTCAGGGCCATATGTAATATACTGTAAGAACCAGCTATTATACTCATTCATGTCAGGGTCATGACTTTCCTACCCCCAAAATATTTAGACGTGGCTGATACACATAGGAATTCTGCTATGCTGTAATGCATGCATGGCCATTTTCATAAACAAATAAGGCAATTATGCGTGTTGACACACAGTTTCCTATCAAAACACACACTAAGGTGAGGCTGTTTCTCTTTTTATAACACAGGGAAAAGATCTGTGTGACTGGATAGCTGGATGTCTTGCCATCTACAGGGAACTCCATGCCGCTGGGTACATACAGCTTTGCCTGGCACTGTATGTCAAACGCGCTCTGTGGAAGGGGACTGTACTGTAAAACATGAGGTTATGCAGCAGAATGGTCTGAGCATTGAAGGTCTCAGTGATACCTCATAACTCTGGGGCTGGGAAAGGGTGAGATGCTGTTGGCAGCAGATATTACCATATATACCTGCCCTACTCCCATGGCAGTGCTGTTACTGGGCTTCCAGAGATGTACGGATGGGAACACAAAGACTGAGTCCTTCTTAGTCCCCCATTAAGCATCAGTCCCAGCCTTGCACCCACTTCATTTATTCCCCTGTCGGGCAGAGTGGGAAGTGGCCTCAGTACAGGGCCAGTGACTCTGAGGCACCTCTCACACATTCCTCCCTTCTTCTTGCCTCAGTTCTTCCAGACAGGAAAGGAGGACAGAGACACTGGCTTGTTTTGTTAAAGTATGTGAGATGAAGTGAGGGGAATTGTTATGGAAAAATATAGCCTTAATTATTTATCTGGACAAGAAGGCCACATTGGATAGAGGATACTAGATACATTTTAAGATACTGTTCTCATTAAATTTAACTTTGTCCAAATGGAAAATGGATCTATTTTCAAAGAAAATGTGAACACTCAGGTTGATATAAAAGTTGGATGTTCTCAACTGTCCTCCAGAGAGGTCTTCTGTCTCCACTGATTATGTAGGAGGTTCAAAGGTGCAAAGATCCTAACTCAGATGTCTAAAGTCAAGTGGGTATGATTTCCTGCTCATCAACAAAAGCAAGCTTTAGAAATAGAGATGAAAATTCTCCCCCCGAGTCTCATCATCTCCTCCATCCACATTCAGACCAAATCACTGTGGCAAATGCAGTATTAAACATCTAGATAAAATGAATTGTTTAATCTGAGAGGCAAGGGCCTCAATGTCAACTATGCATCGTAATGCACCAATGCTTAGATTTTAAGGTAAACGTATTTAACTATGGGGTATATGCAATGCATTTTTTTTAATGATAACTCTAAAATCTATAGAATAAGATAGCAAAATATTTTTTCTTTAGATTATCTGTGCCTTTCTATAAAACCACATAATGAGGAAAATATTTTTCTATATAGGAAAAGAAGTTTAAGAAAATTAAGAGAAAACATCAGTCCTTTAGCATGCTAAATTCTTTGGTTTCCTATAAAATTTTCTATTTGAATAAGTAAAGGAACTTAACATCTTTGCTAACAAAACAACTGCTTAATTCAAAGAAGCAGCTCCTGCAAATAAAGAGGTAAAAAATTAATGAAAGTCAAATAGTGAATGATCCCCTGCCTGGAAAATTGTATTAAACTGATAAAATCAAAGAATAAAGGAATAAACAAAATCATTCCCAATTCATTCCAGTATGCAGAACTGATGAAAAGTGGAAAATAAAGAATAGAGGAAAATTGTACAAAAACATAATATCTTAGTTACTGGTAAATAAACAAAGCCAATTTCCATAATATTTCCTTCTTTCAGCTGTTTCTAATGAACCAGCTGCTGGACCGAGTTCTACATGACAGAGGCTGGCAGACGTCTTCGGACAGCTGAATCCACTTAAATGGTCCTTTCTGTTTATAATTTAAGGCCAGTTCAGACCGTCTTTCTAACACATTGACTCTTGGCGTGAATCATACTGTGTATTTAGTTTCCTGCATTAAGGCAAATAACTGGGGAAGAGTCTGCACGTAATTGGCACTCAGTCTGCAAAGTGTCAGTGAGTATGGACGTGCCTAACAAGATTGCGCTTAGTGAGCCCAGTAGTTATATTGTTGTTCATAAAAATAAATGTGAGAGGTCCTTCAGTGCATGCTGGCTGCCTTCCCCTGTAACACACGTTAAGTCTAGCTATTAAAATAGGCTCACTATGCCAGAGAAAAGCTTCCTCCTGGAGTAGAAAGCCTATGTATGAACTGTTCAGATGACTAAGCTGGTTCAGGGAAAAAGCAAAAGGCTGGAAAGCTCGTGCCAAGAATTAATGAGATTTTGGCACAACTGAATTTGAAACGTAGCCTTGACTCTCCTTCAAACTCAAACTCCAGTCTTCTCCACAAAACTACCCTGGATGAAACCATCAGCTTCCTGGCTAATAAAACTCAGTTTTCTTTGTAAAGAGATTCTGCTTTCTGTTTTTGAAAATTTTCAAAACAACCTGATATTAAAATATATTTCCAAAACAAAATAAAATCAGCAAGCACAGGTAAGTTTTTGGGGATGCTGAAAATCTGTACAATGTTTTACCTTTACTCTTGTTGCAACTCCTGGTATTCTAAGAAGTCCTTCTGTTTCCAGAGTTGTCTCTTCTATCTGGGCAATGAGCTGTCAAACACAAAGTAAATTGCATGACTGAAGATGCCAATTAAAAATTACTGATAAATAGTTCTGATATACCAGAGCCTTTATGTATGCATGTGTGTGTATGCATACATTTGTCCATGCACAGATGTAACAAGTAGACACACACACACGGTTTACAAATGGATTACAGTTGTTGTAGACATAGAAAAAACTTTTGATAGGGCTCTTACCTGTTTTATGAACATTATTAAAGAAGATTTTGTCTGTGTTATTAAAAAAGAAAACTGTATTTTTTTTAGACCTCCTTTGGAGACTGAAGCCTCTTTTTCCTAAAACTACTCTGTCTTCAGAAATAAATCCCAATTAGTATCTTTGTTAAAACATCTCTGAATCAAAACAATAGAGGTAACATTAGAGTACTAACCTTCTCCCAAATACTCTTCAGTACAACTTTACCAGAGAAGACCTAAGTACTTTTAGGCTTTAAGGAAGCTTGAGTTTTGAAAATCCTGGCATTCTCCTAAGAAACACAACAGTTTGCAATCCTACATGTGGCTTAGATAAATTAGTAGAACTTCTGTAAAAGTACTTAAAAAACATCCTAAATTCTGTTTCTCTAAAAGATATACCTAGAAGTATTCACTGAAGAATGGATCTAAGAGTATTCAAAACAAATTTGTAAACGTCAAAAGCTGATGACATCATTTTAGCACAAATGGTTCTCACAGTGTTTACTAGGGCAGTGCCTTTGTTACATACCTTCTTGTGCCAGCTCTTGAGTAAGAAAAATTATGCAACACAGTTGTGTTTTCTCCAGTTACAGAAATTAAAGGGGGTTTACCTACCACTGTATTTATGTAACTAATAAATGCCATAAAAAAGATCGGACAGAACAAGCCACAGAGTTAGAAAACAGCACTAAAGGTGTCACTCTGGTATATTTTAACACTTGGTTAAAAAAAAAAAAGAAAAAGTACTAACTGGCTGCATCCAACTCCCACTGTACTGGGCTTACACCAGAGCAGTGGCTGCCACCCTCACCTATCGGACACAAAGACGCTGCGGGCATGCTGTGTGATTTGCCACCATCACCGTGTGTAGGGGGAGGCAAGGCCTGGTGGCACTGCCAGTGGCCACGACTCCTTCACACACACTCACAAGTGCGCCCTTGGCAGGCAGCAAGAGGTGGCCACGGGCCACCACCAGCCTCCTGCCTATGGGAAATCCCCTCTTCATCTCTATCAAGGCTGCTTTGCATGGCCTCATTAACAGGTCAGGGTCCTGCATTACTATCAGCAGAAACTTCTGGTGGAGATACGTGGCTTGGTATTACCCTCAGATTTTCCAGTTGGAAAACCCCTAGGCTAAATTATGTCATTATTTTTAACCGTAATTCCTCAATGAAATAAAAAATAGGTGTATCTTTATTAAAACATTTTTTTAAATTTAGCAGCCTGCCTGTTAGCTTGGTTTGTTTCATTTCAGTAATAACCAAGATACATTTAAAAAGCAGTATACACAAAAATGTTCTTTCTTACACTTTATATAAATTCCATATTCTTTGGAAAGCACGTGCTGTAGAGAACAGGCAGAAGAAATGGGAAACTTTTTATTTTCATGTTCTCATTTAAGGAAAAACTGTATTCCAAATGACATCTGCACCTTGCAAAACAAATCACATCTATAAGCTAGAAATGTTTATGTAGAATTTTCTTCCTGAAAAACTATGCTTACTATGTTGCTAGGACAGCACAGTGATCAATCACTTTTTGTCATTTGATTTCTTTTTTTCTAGATAGCATCTTTCCCAGAAATGTATTTTTATGATCCTGAGGAAGTAATTTCTGGCATGAATGACAATAGTTTTGACAGAGTGATGCAAAACTACTTTGAGTTTTCTGTTTCTTGAAAAATAACTTAACAAGCAGGTCACCCAAACCTACTGAAACGATAATGACACAGCACTGAGTTTCTGTCAGTGTTAGGACAGGTTCACACACTGTGGTCTCTCCCTTCTCATGCAATGAGACCTGCATGGGCAGTAAATCCAGGGTCTCCATCTTTCCCATTATCATCCCCATTATCATGACATGATACAGTCCCCCATGTACTAAAGCAACAAATCTTCTGGAAAAGGGCTGCTGCCGCCACCAGAGGCAGTTATCCAGCCTGACTCCCACTCCCTAGCCACCTGCCTTGTGGCCCAAATCACTTCTGAAAGGAGAAAACCACTTGCTAGAAATGTAGATTCAGCCTGTGGGCCAGGGATTGAGAATTTCTAAGGAATTTCAAGTATTTGCTCCGAAAAAAATAAAGGGCAGCCCTACTAATGATGTAAGTTACACCACCTTTATGAAATGGAATTTGGCTGCAGTGGGTTCTTACACTGATTGTTAGTTTTCACAGGTTTATTAGTAAACTTGCCTAAATCATGGAGACCAGGTTTAACAAAAAATGAACTTTAATCCTTTAACTCAAAATATGTCTGATACAAAGAAAAGTATCACATTTACTGAATTAATAAGTAAAGCTGCAAATAAAAGTTACAATAACTTTGATTAGAGTACTATACTGAAAACTGTGCTACAGAGAGCAAATAAATCCAGGACAAAATGTTATTTGTTTGTCATTTGCAGGCATGTAACTAGTTGGCTTGTTCGTGCCTTCTTACCTTCTGAAAAATCAATGGGATCTTGGTCCCTGGCACCTTCTTCTGATCCTGTTCCAGTAAAACTGACAGTGGGACACCAAACAAGCCAGAGTCTGAAGAATAAAGCAAAAGAAACTGAGATATTATCCATATCTGTTCCAGTGCATGTGATAATGACATAAACCCACATTTTTGAGGTGATAAGCCTATTCAATACATTCAGAGCTATTGACCTTTTGTTCAAAGTGTTTGAATGTCTTCATCAATCAAGTTATTACACAAAGCATTCTGGTTAAAAAGATTCATTCATCTCTTCCTTCAACCATAAATCAGGAGTCTTCTGTTTTGACTTCAAATTGCCCTCCACTTATTCTGCAGTACAGTAAAGCAAACTGCATAAACGAACCATCTACATGGTTCTGGTTTGCAGAATGGGAGTGATGATGACCCTGCAATGCAGATTTTCATCACTTAATGCAAGTTACTACACTTAAGATGCAAATGCCATGAGTAAAATATCCAGAAATTTGTCTACTAAAATGAGACAGATGTAATTACCACCCAGAGTTACTCTGAACACTTCTCTCTATGAGGGTTTTGAAAGAAGAGTTTTTCAATCCCTGTGCTTTTACATTATACATAAATATCAGCAGGATAGCAAGACCACCATCTCATCAAAGGTGTTTTGCTTTTTTTTTAAAATAAAAGCAAAAGTACAGTTAAGTCCTGGTTAGAAAATAACCTTTACAATAGTGTTAAAGCAATGCAAATTAAAAAAAAAAAAAAAAGGAATCTAGCCTCAGTTAATCTAGCCTTAGTCTTCAAGTAAATGGGAGTCCCACGTGTTTATGGCCCAGCTGAATAGAAGTGAATGACCATGAAGAGAGAGGTTTACTAGTAATGACTAACCTAAAGTTTGCTGACATAGAACTTCTCTGTCAAAATTAGTGATAATTGCTGTATGTGCAATTTTTCTGAAACAGCATATAACACTATGTGTAACTTAAAATTCCTGCTTGGTATATGATGCCACACCAATATGGAACACAGAACAGCTGTAATTACTAAAAAGATGTAAGCCCTTGAGGGAACGTGATATATGTCAAAGAAACAACAGTCTCAGTGCCAAATCCGGGAGTTCTTTTATCTCTACCAGCATAAAAAGTCTATCTATAAAATATGTAGTGACTGGTACATACACTCGATATCCATACCCCACAGTTCTATCACCTTGAAGATCTTGTCAATAATAAAAGTTTCTACTGAGATGAAGTTGGAGAAACAAACTGTAGGAGCTCGTAGAAAGGCAGGGCTGGGCACAGCAAGGCATTCTGCAAGAATTATGTCTTCATCATCTTTACGTGCTCAGGCACAAAGGGGAACAGCCAATAGATCCACCATTGTATAAATCAATTGGCCAGACAACACTTCCGGAGTGAAGAGGTGAGGGACAGGTAGCGCAACAAGGCACTGAAGGCATTACATTACAAAAGCAGATTTGTTTGGCAGAAAGGGTGACATGTTATTGTCTATTTCCTACACATTTCCATGAGTCTAGCCCATCTTTTTTAACTTTTAAAAACTTTTTAAAAAGTTTTTAATCAATTCAGTGTTTCTCATGACTGCCTGTCATTCATATAATAATGCTAGGAGTGAAATTCAATTAACAATAAATTTGGTAAGAAGAATCAATTAAAAATAAGACCAAAAATGCACGAGAAGAAAGTGTTTTGTCTCTGTTTTCTAGTGAAAGCACAAGCACTTCTGCAAGAAGAAAATGCATTTAAGGGATGAAGGTCTTGTAGATGTTTCTGTGTTTGCCTTTTGCGTTTAAAAAGTTATTTTCTAGTACTGTAACATGAAGAGCATATTCTGAAGAATCTACTGTACCTTGCTGTACATCTCTCAACCCTCTCTGTTGCATTCAATTATTTAAAGTGAGCTATTGCACTGTCACATTCACTGAACCTTGACAACAAGGTTTTGGCCAAAGCAGACTTGTGATTAACTGGTAACACATTTCAAGCTCTTGTAAAGCATTTAGCAGAAGTCAGAAATACAGAAAACAAACAAAGCACTGAAAACCTCTAGTATCTTGAAATTGGTTTCCATGTGCCCTATGTTCCCCAAGAAAAGCACTGTGATTATATGTACGCTCCAATGGCTTGCAGAGCAAAACTGTCTCAACATCCTCTGCAACAGCCCAAATCATCCACTTAATATGATGCCATTCAGCATAAAAACTGCATTATTGCCTGAGTAAATACTGGGTGGGCAAGGCCTGTGTGACACAGGAAAGTTTGTACCAGGCAGAAGAGGAAAGCAGGTGACAAAGGCTCCCAGCATCTCCAGCCGAGGGCAATTAAACAAAAAATGTCAGGTAGAATCACAGAATCACTGAATTATTAGGTTGGAAAAGACCTTTAATATCATTGAGGCCAACTGTAAAAGTAGCACAATATCTAACATCAGGAAAGCAGGAAAAGAATACCCAGAAAGAGTACATACATGTGCCGTCCCAGGGAATCTATCAGCACATACAAACTTCCATGAAGCAATTCTTCCTGCGCAGCATGCTCCTAAGATAGCTCGCCTTCTTCACTCCTTGGTTTATCTGCTCAGTGACTGATGTGAGTTTTAAATTGGGACAAAGAGCACAGTCCCATACCTGGAGTGACTATATGCACGAACTTGCTTAAAGTGTGCCTTCAGTTAAGGCATATAATTAAACACTGCTCAGGACCTATGTTACTATTTATATAGTAATATACATTTTCTGCTGGAAAATCAGAAAGAATCAGATGCATTTGTCTATTGGATTAAAACAGACCCATTTGGTTCAGAATATGAAACACCAACTCACCTTTGGTTTTGATTTTTACAGCTTTTTGCTGCTTGAATTCTGTCCCGAGTATGTCATAGAGAGCAGTTAATTCAATCAGTGCTAAAGAATAGACTTTCTTCATGTCCTGAGGAGCCAGGTCACCAATCTTTGTGGTACCTGTTTTGTCCTTCGGCAGCCTGAAATTCTAAAAGCAGAGATTTGCTGCAGAGTGAATAATCCAAGTCATAACAAATTACTTAGCTCAAAGGCTGTGCTTCCTTCAGGGCACAACCTTTTGTCATGAACTCTGCTGTTACTGACTAAATCACGGGAAAATCCCCCAAATAGGTTGAAAAGCAGATGATCTTAAAACCATAGGACGATTTAGCTTCCTAGTGACTTCTGGAGGTCATCTAATTCAATTGTCTGCTCAAAACAAGGCTAAATTGAAAGTCTGATCAGGTTGCTTGTTGCAATGTCCAACTGAATTTTGAAAACTCCCAATAACCTCTGTGGGTACCTGTTCCAGTGCTTAATGCTCTCAAGGGGACTTTTTTTACTTTGCAAAACAGAATTCCCCTGTAGTCACTTGTGTCCATTGTCTCTTGTCCTTTTGCTGTGCACCTCCAATAACAGTCTGGCTTTGTCCTGCTTGTAACCACCTCCCACCCCCCCACACCACCACCTTCTGCATCCTTTGCAATTTATAGTGGTGGAAATGGCACATGAACAATCTATGCACATACAATTGGGTTAAAAATCCCTCTGCACTTATGCACACAAAATAACATATTTGGCTGCCATATAAATAATAATAAAGGGGTTCCCTTCTTAGGGATGGAGGATCCTTAATTATGGCTCATTTCTACTTCACTAAATGCTCAGAAACTGCAGTCAGAGACCAATATAATGAAGTGTGCCAAGAGGGCGAGGGATAGGGACTTCCCAGCTCATAAGGCTTTTTAATTCCACTTCACACCAGCAGGCTTGTAAGTAAGACTCTTGCCTGTGCCTGACATTAGCAGTATGCATGACTCACAGCAAGAAGTTTGACAAGACTTTCTTCCATTTGGAAAGATAAGACTATACTCCAGAATTATTTTCTCACCCTGCACAAACCCAACGATAGCACAGATGAATTGGTGGTTATGCTACATGACTACAAGGCCACCTACTGAAACATAAACATCATTTGCAAATTGTAGATACACAGTCAGTTTCCCGCCTTGAGGTTTCATTGACTTGCACAAACATGTATGTTTATAAATAGCTGCCAACGATGAAGGTGCAACAAATACAAGTCATAGATTTAAAGAGGTAACTCCCTTCCTTTTCCTATCATTTTGCCACTCCTTTCATCACTGAAGGAGAAATCCCATAGCCATGTCTTTGAGCAATCCTTTCATAAGCCTAGCTAGAAGTATAGCTAATGTACGTATTATGAATATGTATATGCATATGTGCAGAAGTAAGTCAGAGTATAGCTATCATTTCTTTGTTTTAGGCTGCGTTAGAGAAACATGCCTCAAACACTTTAGAATCCATTTCTAAATACCCATTAGTGTCTGGTTTATAATGTTTAAACTAGGATACATGGGTAATTGCTATTTGAAGAACTGCACATGTCCTTATCTAATTTAAGTGTTTGAAGAACTGTGAAACATTATTACTTCAGACACTGTTTACTCAGACATGTTTGCATACACTGTTAGAAAAAAAAAAAGACATTTTTCACACCAGTCATTTGTTTACAGGTCATGCATAACCGCATGTTCATGAACTGCTAGGTCAAGAGACATCCTCAAAGAGATGCCTGAGGATCAACAACAAAATGCCTTGGAGGATCTCCTTTTGTATTTATTTGGATTAATTCAGAATGAGTCTTTTTTTATTAAGAGTTGGAAAGTAAAACTGAGCATAAACTAATCCTTAATTTCCTGCCATTTGACTTTAGACTTCTATAGACCATTCTGTTCTTCATTTTCATCCCTCACCTGCCTGCACTGGCTAACTGCACAAGGTTTCTTACAGGCATCCACCAACCCTTTTTAAATGACAACAGAGATTTTTATTACAGAGGTAAAGCATCTCACCTCAGACAACAGGAAAAGGAGCTGTAAACAAATAAAGTAAGGGCACAGTTTGTGTACAAGTACCACTAAGCCACTATTCCAGCTTCTATTACTAGTCCATTATTACTTACACAAAGTGCATTTTGCCAGACAGACAGTGACATAAATAGGCATAAAAGTAGTTATTTCCATGTTACTGAGAATACTGTTCCCAAAAATGAGTTATCTTGAAAAGGCTTCTCTCCACGAAGCTGGATCTGACAATGTTCTTCTAAATGTAATCCACCCCATATCAGATAAATATAATCCAAACACTACCACTAGTAAAAACAAAAGAATGAGAGCAATAAATAGGAAACACCTACCGGGAGAAGAGTGTCACCCCCTCCACCCTTGCACATTTTGCCTACTGAACTCTCTTTGAGATTAGCTGCCTGTTCTGCAAATGGTATCTCCAAATTGATGTCAGTGTCCGAAAATGGCATGTCTTCAAGTGAGCTCTTCTGCTCATCCTTTCCAAGACTGAACTTTGGACCTGAAAACAGAGTAAAAAAACTAATAATCAACAGCAGCACAATTAAGCAGCACTCAGCGCATGAGAGTAAGGTTAAAACCAAGTAGAAGTTAATGCTGTGCAAGGGATGGACTTTCTGGTTGCAAATTCATCGATTCCTCCATTTTTTATGTCAGTTGAAATTTTAGCTTCTTAGAAGGGTCCATCTTTTGTAGTTTTTCTTGAATAATTCTGCCAAGGCATAGGTTTTTTTCCCTATTCATCTATTTTGGAAAGATAAAACAATCCACCTCAAACAAACAGCAGATCTTCCAGAGCCAAACAGCTTCAGCATCAAAAGTTTCTTGCCAACAAACACTTTCCAGCCTCAAAGACTGTAACATCCAGCAACCAAACCAGTAATTCTTTCTGCTGTTAAAATTTCAAAAGCAGAAGAGAATGTTTCCTCTATGATCCAAAGCATTAACATCTGGGAATAACAGATCATGTCCTTGTCCCAACATTCTTGTCCTCACCTCAGTCTGAAGAGTCTAGATTCCTCAAAACTGTTTGGACATGTTTCCATGATACAGGGGAGGACTAAGTACACAACAATGGCCTTAATTCTCTTTCTTTGTTCATTAAAGGAATCAAACACTAGACAAATTTACAACTGGTTTTTTGTTTAAAAATAAAGAAAAAAAATAACGAAAAAAGGGAGAGGCAGTTCTGCTTTTAGAAAAAGAAGTAGTCTAATTTCATAGGAAATCAACCATTGATTTTCAGTCTGAAGTTAAAATAGATCATGAAAGAAGCAAGAGGAAAATTATATTGTAAATAATGATATTTAATACAAAGCACAAAGATAATTTAGCCAGAGAAAGATTCTGATCTCTCCACCATCCCTCTCGTGATGTGGTACTTTTTAAAGGACACATCCAGTATTAGGTTCCTTGTACAAGATATTACAAATACCTTGCAAGTATTTGTGATGAAATTCAGGCTTTCTTAAAACCAGCACAAATCAAAACAAACCAATCCTGCTCATTTCAACAGGACCATGATTCTGCCACTGGCTCCTACTCACAGGATACTGCAGCCTGTTCAAAGCTAACATACCACAAGTGCAGGAAAAGCGTGATGGAAAAGGACATAGGTTGAGGAGGAGAACCATAAGCAGTGCACATGCTTTGGTACAAGAATATTGTGTAACATAATAGATTAATTTCTCTACACTGCTGTGGGACATTTTTGTATGGCCTGGAATAACTATGCTAAGCCAAGTCAGAAAAAAATTCCCAGAAAATAGTTACAGCTACAGCAACATTTGACCTTGAAGCAGAGGAAAGGCTGCAGATAGGCTGGTTAAGAGAGAAGGTGTCAGCGAAGTGCTGCTCTCCACTGATATTTCCAGCGGTCTGCAAAAGAGCTAAACTGCAGGCACGCAACCCAAAAAACATATGAAACATCAAGTTTTAATAAAAAAAAAATTACACTAACTCAATTTTTTTCTGAATCATATCTGCATCTAATTGAAAGACTCTACATAAAACAAGCGTAGTTGCTGATATTCTTTAGGGTGAGTCCTGAAAATTACTTCAGTCTGCCAGGGCCAAACTCAGGGGACTTGATAGGCATGTGGCTGCAGCCACCACAGCCACTCTCTAGTAGGGCACAGTGCTTTACACAACCACTCCCACTTCAATGTAATTATCTAGAGCTGAGACACTTCCAGAGAGAGAAGGCAGATTTGAGTTAACACTCTGACTCTTCTTAAACATTTCCAAATTTTGCCTGTTGTGTGTGTTACTCATCACTTGCTCCTTCCAGAGTGGCTTCTGCTCACTTTCCATAGACCCCGAAAGATTAAGTTGATCCTGAAACTAGAGCTGCTCCTTTCAGTAAAGAGATATATGAGACCTCAGTAACCAAACATATGCAAGGTCAAATTCATCCCTGGCTTCAATCTTTGGTGTCCCTGTGTGCATATCTGTATACATCATGTAAACTGTTTAATGCATCCGAACTAAACAAAAACAGCTCCGCGTCCCCCCAAGACTTTTGTCATGCTAATGTGGCCTATATCTGACCTACATACTTCCTACCAGCCTGGGAGGAATCTGATGTTAACAAACAATAAAGCAGTAGCTCCTATTTCAGTCCTCTGGTCATACGAAGGTGCCCTGGAAAGCAAATGTCTTGGTAATGCTGTGCACATTTTAAAGGTCTGGAAATGCTGCTGTTGTGGGGAGTTTCTTCTTGGTCATATAGCCTTGTTCCTGTTGTTGTGCATTCATTAACTAAGAAGCAGCTGTAAGAGGAAGCAGCTTTGGTGTTCTGCCAGCCTGCCAAGTGCATGCAGTATTTCATGAGAGAAATGCAAGTGTGATACAGAAGAATGTAAATATTGCCTATAAGGATGTGGAAACCATATTTTATATTAGTCCTGTACCCTTTCCTTGGTTCACAGTGCTATTTAAAGATCACATAAAATGATGGGAATTCTTCAGGAGTGGGGTGGGGGTTACTTTTGGTTTTCTTTTTAATAGGACATGGAAACATCAGAAGCATCAACCTTGCTATTTCCTAGTTTTGCTAGCAAATCTGAAGTATACCCCGATGCAGCTATGCTGATAGATCTTAATTAATAATTGGAAAGGTAGAACAACTGATTTTTTTTTGATTGACAAAGCATTTCTCTAAAATGCTAATTCATAGATTATTTTAGATAGAAAATAAAAAACTTTTCCTTAAAACTCTATCATTCTGGCCATAGATTCCTCATTTATCATGTAAAATGAAAAGTAGAAACAAACTCTTCAATCAAAAAATTACAACCACATTTCAGTCCTTTTCCCTACCAAGAAGCAAACATTATAGCTCTTTTCCTTCATGTTACACATAGTACACACAATTCTTTCATCCATTTGCCAGATCATTATGCTTTGAGGTTGCCCTTATTCAGAAG